ACACCCCCCGGGCCGGGTAGTTTGGGTAATTGTGTCCCAGTTAAGCAGGCGCACGGGACAGCCAAATGATCACTTTAATACGCTCTGGGTGATCGTACCGCAAGTTGGCAATTAAACCGAGAAATTTGCATCCTGCTCACCTGCCCCTTGCGCTAATGGGATGTCGTCGTCAAAAAAAAAAAAAAAAAAGCTTTTACAATAATGACCGCGAGGAGCTCGGGTATGCTCATGTCCACAGTGGAACCTTAAAACTGGAAATCATGTCCATCTCATTCATTTATCGGCACCAGAAGCCATTTATGGATTGGACATTGACAACGGTTTGGTTGATGTCGCATTTGAACGTTCTGAACTCTCATCCAAGCCGTTAAAACACTTAAGAGTCCCGGCTTTACTACGGATCCGGCTCCCCGGTTGATACCACAGGGCCGATCGCGCCGATGCCGAGCGTTTGACGAATGCCAAAAAGTGCCCCGGGCGGCCGGCAGATGATGTCATCAGCTTGCCAGGCAGGCGCCATACCTTGCCTGACGGATTTTGAACTGGGTGCGGCAGACATCTGACAATGAAAAAAAAGACAAATCATCCAAATTAAAAAAAAACTGCATAACAGACTGCGAATGCTTTCTCTTCTGTCTGAAAGGTGAAGCCATTGGTCTGATTTCATCCCCGAGAAATCCCATCGATAATCAGCAGATGTGTGTGAAGTGTGATCCTGCAGCAGCAAGGTGAGCTAACTTTACCGCACCCGATTATTATAGTCTGTCATTTTTAGGCGCGTAATCCCTCGGCGACGTGGTGACAGCTCGGCCGACGAGCGACTTCAGGGTGGTTAGTCAACCCATTAGCCACTTGGCAGAGCGGCAGGAATGCGCCGTCGTCGGCCCAAAAAGCAGGCGCGCGCTCCCTCTCCGGCGTAGCCGTCTGCCGAAAACAAAGCCGCATCTGTCCAACATGCGCCGACAGTCCAACAGACGGTCCGTCGTCAAGTGGTGGAAAGTTACGTCGTGCAAACATGTTGCCATTGTACTTGAGAACACGCGTACATTGGAATTGAACAGTTATTCCTGCTTTCCGCTTATTTTTTTTTTCAACCTGCGAGGATGATGGCTCAATGTATTGGGGAAAAAAAAAAAAAGCGAGGGAGGCAAAGTCAAACGTGGTTGTGATCAGCATTGACCTATTGAAATCTTGTGATCCGGGTTCCGTGAAAGAGAAAGCAAGAATGATTTGTGGCGAACGCCAAGTATTCAGAAATTCTCTGTCCATTCTTTTACGAGCGCCGCACAATGAAACTTCTTGAGTGTGAAGACAAGTTGGATGGCACCGTTTGAATCCGTGCTCATCCACAAGTGTCTTATTCCACTTAGGTGGAGTCTCTGTATTTTTTTTTGCTAACAGTGCCAACACGTGAGGTGCAACGGCGCCAAGAGCACGCTCGCTCCTCAGGAGCAGCTCACATCTGCTGCCCATGTGGCAGCGCAGCGTCACGAGCGACTCAGTCCAAAAAAAAAAAAAAGAAGAAGAAGAAAGAAGCGCCCTTGGGAGACGGGACGTAAGCCAACACAAAGGCTGTAAATTGAATATGCGGCTCAGTCATGTGCCTTACTGTTAAATGAGCCGCAAAATGGAATTTCACGAGTGTTGAAGGGATCACCGAAATTGACAAATTCGCCGCCTCGAGGCTACGACGATGACACTGAAATTGTCCAAAGATTCGGGGTGGGTGTTCAACTGGCAACTGGAAAGCGCTCGAGTGCTCACGCCGCGCAACGGCCGCCTAATTCCAACATCGTGACTGACGCCGAGGCTTCCTCTTCCCAGGAATCCGCCAGCGCTTGTTTACCCGCGCTGGGGTGTCGTGGCTTTGATGGCGGCGAGGACTTCGCGACTGGAGGCCGTCCTCGTCTGATCTTCGGAGGCGGCGCCAGATCAGAGGGCCGCCGCGCAAGGAGAAGAAAAGGGCCGTCGGAAGGCTCATCCGTGCGTACGCCAGGCTGAAGGCGGGAACGTTCAAAGGAAATCAGGCATGTGCTTCCGCTCGCTTCCTTTTCGTTTGTTTAAGCGCAAAGGGGCGAAGATGCAGCTGCAGTCGCATCGTTCGCTCACAAAGAGGTAGCCTGCAAAATTGATTTCTTTCCAAATTGAGTTCTTGAGCTATTGGTTGGCGAGCTCATGAGTCAGTCAGATAGTTAGCTCGCTGGTTATCGAGCCGCCTGACCGGTTAACCAGTCGGACATCAGTTAGCCAATCAGCGAGCTAGATCGTAGGTAGTCCGCTAGTTGGCTCATTAGCTAGTTAGCCACATTTGCGGTCACGTTTTTTTTCAACATTGCGGTTAGTGTCGTGTTTTGCTTCTGCTGCTAAACTCACAAAGCAAATCCATTCAAGAAAGCCAAATGTTAGCGGGTAAACTTTTAATTATGGAAAAAACAGCAACAGCCGAAGATTGTGTGTTCACATTCAGCCCAGGCTTCATCTCTTCCTTGGCGTTCCCTGCAAGTGCGTTCGTTCATTTGCATGATAATAAAAGGCGCCGTGAAATCAAACGAAGGGAGTGTGTGTGTGCGCCAGCTCCTGTCAGTGTTTAATTTAACAAGGAGAGAGAGGCAACGGGAGGAATTTTGCTGGCTAGTCATAAATCTTCCATTATTTATGCTCCGGCTGCCAGTGATATGCCGGGACATGCCGAATGCATGCTTTTTTTTTTTCTTCTTCTTCTTCTCCTCGAGAGACAATGCCCTAATGTTTTATTTTCTGGTTTCACCCCTGCGGCTATGAAACCGGGCTCGGTGCTTGGCTGTATCCAATTAGATACACACTGGCTGCACAGGTGAGCCAAACAAAAAAGTTGAATGGGTCATTTCACAGAGAATTACGCACACACACACACACACACACACACACACACACACACACAAAAGAGAAAAAAAAAAGCCCTATAGATGGAAGGGATGACATCACCGTCCGAAATCATGACACATGGCGGCAAGACAAAAAAAGCGGACTGAAAGGGACGATTACGCGGCGCTCAATGGGCAACTTGAAATGAGGTGAGTCATCTGCTCGGACTTTTACGAGACCTTAAAATGTATCCTGGCCCTGACCCTGACTCTGGGCTTCTTTCGCTTGTTGTCATTGCCTCTTTAAATCATACTGAACCCTTTTTTTGTGGGGGGCGGGTCGCTGAGAAATACAGTCAGCACCTTGATGTATGAGTTCAATTTGTTCAGTAACCAAATTCATAACTCAATTGACTTGCATATGCAGCCGATTTCCTCGATTGAAATGAAGCGACATGCCATTTATCTGTCCCAGCGCCCCAAACGATGTTTTTTAATGAAGACGACTGGCACTGTTTTCTGTCAAATCCAGCTAACATTTAAGAGACGAATGGGGTGGACTGACAGGCAGACACCACTTATCCATGTTTTGAGGCATTTCATTAGATAGTGAGCACAAATTGTAGCAACTTGTGTAATCCTCCATGAGCCAGGAAGCAGTCTGCTCACTCATTATTTCATCAGTTAGTCAATCCAGTCCAGTTCAGTCCAGTCCACTCGACTGCTAAGGTATCCTCAACAGAACCGCACGCAGAGAGTCCTTTATAATCGTGACGCGCGAATTCATTTGTCAGGGTTCACCGTAGCGCATAAGCCGTTTCGGTGCTCGTGTTTTTCTTTTTTTTTTCTTTTTTTTGTTTGTTTTTTTGACTAATCCTCAGCTCTATATTATTGCCACCCCGCAGCTACGTCGCATTTGGCAGCACGCGCGGCGTGCGAAATTCACAGAATTTTCTCGGGCTGAACTCATTAACGATGTGCCGTGAACTCCTGATCCTGTGGGCTATTGACTCGAATTCCCCACGCTGCCGGAGCGAGCAATTTGGAACGTTAACGCGTTCCTAAACAAACCAGCCGTTTGTAAAACGCACAGGAAGAAGTGCGGCGGGCGGGGTGCCGAAATGGGCGGGAGTTACTGCCGCCACCGTTTGTCGTCTGCCTTACAAGACCCGAGGATGGCACTCAATCATTTAACCTCCCTGTTTTGACGTCGCCTTGCCATCCCAGCATTCGTCTAGCAGAGGAAGTGTCGGGAGTCCAAGTAAAAAAAAACTATCCGAAGAATAAATACAGCCGGACCTCCGCTCAACTTCCAAGTCATCGCTTGGTCAAATGTGCTCATTTTGGCCCCGGCAAGCTCGCGAAAGCTTCTCAAATGTGCACAACGAGCAGTTCGGGGGCCACTCCGCTTTTAATGCACGCTCACGTTTCCCGTTCTGCGTCAGCATGAGCTTTGCTAAGCTATGTGTTAGTCTTGAAGTACAGAAAGGGGAATCCACTTAGTTCTATGTTTAGTTGGACCGGGAGCCTGTCGTTTGAACTTGGGTTTGCCAAAGTGTGTTAAGTTGAGTCCATTGCCACCGGACAACGCTCGTCTGCCACGTTTTGCGCCCGCAAGTCGCAAAAGTCAGAAAGTAACCGGCTCGTAAAATCTCAAAGCTGGTCACCGGTATCGCCAGGCGCCGCCGTAGGTCCACCGGGCTCGGTCCCGACACAAATTCCGCACTCAAGTCCAGTGGGCGAGTCCGGACTCCCCGCCCCCCCCCCTCCCCCGGTGCCCCGAGCCCAGAAAGTTCAACGCTTCCCTAAATTAAAAGCCGCCGGTGTTGTCAAACAAGCTGTTGATGGGCTCGCTTTAATCCCCCTGTGTTGACATGGCGAGCCGGACTTGTTGCTAGGACGCCTCGGCCAATCCCGAGGCGGCCGCCTGCGCCCTGACCTTGGGCCGGCGGATTTTCCTCGAGGGCAGGGTGGCCGCTGCAAGGGAGGGCGGCAAAGGGCGCGGGCAGGAATTTCAGGCGTCGGGGGGGCCAATGTATGAATGACTTGCAGAAGAGAGGAGCCGGCAGCCAATGGGAGCCATGTCGGAAAAGCGCTCGACCAATCGGGGTGGGCCGCTCTCTCGTCTGCCTCTAGCGTCTGCCCGCCCGCCCGCCTGCCTGGCTTCTCTCCGCCTGTTACCAGGTCAGTGTGCCTGCCCGCTGCCTCGCAATCATCTGTCTCATTGGGTCAGTGTGCCTCGCGCGACGCGCCTGACTGGCTGCCCGAGCGTACGCCGTTGCTAGGGAGCTCAGCCAATCAGGGCAGGCCGCAAGTTTCCAGGCAGGTTTTGCCGGGTATGTTTTGGCGGGAGATGAAGAAGAAGAAGAAGAAGTGAAGGGTGTTGG